CTGTGACAGCAGAATCCAGCCTTTTTGTATCCCACTGTTTTCTCCAGCTATTAGTTTATTACTTAGCCTGTCAATGTCAGTATCTTCTGCTAAGAGTGAAATTATTGACTAAATCCAGTGGAAGGAATATTAACAGCAAGTTCCTGAGGAGTGCAAATCATAAGAAAATAATCCATTATTTTGGAATGAAAGATATTGAAGAGCAGAAAATGAAGCACTGCCCTAGTCCCTCTAGTATGCAGGGGCTGGTTAYTGAGAGTAATTAGCAAGAAGGTGGCTGCAGATATTATAAAGGCAATGTCTAATCTAATTAYTTCAGCAGTAATAGTTTGTAATTGTGCACCTGACAGAACTCCTTACACTGCAGCCAACTGACTGATCACATGGGGTTATTGGACAAAATTAGTTGCTTCTCCATCTGGGAGACAGTCACAGGCTGCATGTCCTGCTGACTGCTCCAGAAGATTTATTCAGTGAATTTTTTTTCTGTAGTTTGACTGCAGATCTTTAAGGTGCAGAGCTCAGTGTGGTTGATCAAAGTAAAAGTTGGCACAATCTCCTCAAAAAACCCCAAAGCCAGAATGCCAGACTACCTAAAATCACGTAGACAGAAGCATAAATAAAAGGGATAAAATACCTCAGAAGGTTGCAAGGAATCAGAAAGGTGCCCTGTGAGTGCACATATGGCAATGTGTCCGTCCCTGGAGCAARGAGGCAGAGGGGAGAATGGGAGTTTTGGCTGCTCTTGCTGCACTTGTATGAGTAGCACAAGACAAAACACTTCCATCAACAAGAGGGAGATTTTCTTAAATTGGTTTCCAGAGCCAGAAAGAGAAAATTCAGATGCCATTCAAACTTTCGAGGAGACATTTCAGTACAGGAGCATGGTGAATTGATTGGAGGCTTGCATAAATCTGAATCTTCGATATTTTTGCATGTGCTTCACTTAATTTAAAATTTGAAATGACCATATTTAAAAATCCCCAGATATTACTACTTTAGACCTATTAACATCTAAAGACAATTCCTTATTCAACTCTAATTTCATGATGCCCTTAATAAAGTGAAATAAGCCAGGTTTTATATCAGTTGAATGCTGACTTTGGATGGGTTGTACTAGTGCCATAAAAAAAGTATGTGACAGATGAGAAGGCACTTTTTCTGTGCTGCACCTGAAAGCATTTGTGTTCCTTTCAGCAATTTATAGTACTGCTCTATGGACTGGCGTGTCTGTGAGAAAAAGAGTGGGATATGTGTTAATGTAATCATTCTAAATGTGAAGTGTTAATAAAATGTAGATATACAGAAATTGGAGCTTCTATAAACGGACAAAATAGGCATTCCAACTATTGAACTGGAAGATAAAATGCATTAGAAGGAAAATCAGAATGACCCTAGAGATTTTATCCCRTAATGACATCCTGCCTTTGCAGTGCCCAAGGGTTTGTAGAACTCTCCTTTGGCCTTGACAACAGAAGAGGAAGTGCCATTGTGTTTTTATGAGAGCTTTCTGGGGGGCTCTTATGTAGACTGCTGTACTGATGTTAAAAAATAGCTATTGCTGCCTCACGAGGTTGAAAAGAATCACAAAGCACAAGATTRAAGATAGAGAGTAAGATACTGAATTTGTTTCAAAGTAATGCTTGCATTAATAATGACAGCACTCTGAAGAGGTTAAAATTCAGAAATGTCTGTCCTGTTTTTGGGTAAAAATGAAAGCATTTATCCCAGTTMAGGTAAAAGCTCTCACATCAGCTCCTAACTGGTTTGCTAATCCAATAGATAATGTAGYGAAACCAATTTAGCTCAATGAGGCTTCTGCTGTTGGGACAACAAAACACTTAATACGATTGCTCGATTGCTCTGATTTTAAATACTCCCAGTCATTACCCTGGAAAAGCACTTCTCGTTAGCAGGAAAACAGCACCCTGTGTAYTTGTCTCTGAAGCAGAACAGATAACAAAAAGCTTATGGAAAGTTTCTGAGAATATTTTTGGTTAAAAAAAAATATCGGAAGCAACCCCCTCCTGCCCTGTTTACAACAGCAGCTTAAACCAATTGCCATGGTTGAAAGCCTGTTTGATATTAAAATAACATTGTGTGCAATATATGTTACAAACAYAGACAGCTGATTCTTCCTCATGAAAACTGAATAAAAATTTGGCAATGAATATGTGTTGTTGGATGGATTTGGTAGATGGATGAGAAAGGCRCTGTGTCTTAAATGGAATTAATTTRAAGATCTAAGCCCCTCATTACATAATGCATTGGGGATCTGCTCTCTCCTYGTACCAGCTTTGTGCCACAGCTATTCCTTTTACTAAGTCCTGCACAGTAAAAACAAATCTGAGAAGACAGTCAAGCCCAGACTGTCAGAAAATATAGCACCAACAGAACTAATCAGATGTTATTGGGAGTTCACTGTTCCATGAAAAGATTGGTCAAAAAAAATGAGTCTAAATATCCTACATTTCTGAGACACTGGAAACCTCTGGAAACGTATCCCTTTCTTTAACTCTTGCAATACTTATATTTTACTTGATTGTCAGTTTTCTTTCCCTTTTTTCCCCMCAYTTGGAAAAGGAGATTTTCTTTCTCTTTGGCACAAGAACATATTGGGAAAAACTAATATAATCTTATCAYCCAGGTTTGAGAAACAGGGAAATTGTGAGCCTCAGTTTACTAACCTTTGTACCTTCCAATGATTATTACATAAAAAGCAAGAAATTGAACCCTGTGATAATTAACCAGCACACTCCCACACAAACACACTCCCACACAAACACAATTTCTCCCTCTTTCCCTCTCTTACACTGCACAATGCTAACCCCATAAATGCAGTAGAGAGAAAAGGACAATTTAAGTCATGCCTCAAATTCACCACACTCTGAAAGAGACTCTTCTTCCTAATTTGGCCCAAACATCTTTCACATAGTTACTGGCTAACATAAGTTACTAAACAACACAGGTTGCATTAGTTGCTTATTGGGTAAGTAATCTCAATGAGAGCAGCACAAACATCACAAAACTCAACTTTCATTCACGGGGTTACCAAGCGGGGTAGAAGGAACATTTTTCTTTCCACAGTAATAAATAATTGGCCAGCTTTGGCCAATTGGAACAGGCAGAGCTRGAAGTAGCAAAACAATATATAGGCCATTGAGCTATTCCAGTATTACAATTACTACAGCCTTAAGATTAAATAAAGACTGAGTGATGAAATACAGAGTAATCTGTAAAACATCTGGTATAATGCTCCATCCAGGCTGTTCTTCCTTCACTGCTACATTTCTTCCAGCTTTAGACAAATACAAAAGAACTATTTCTGTACATCTTAAACTAACCACATTTTTTACAGATATATTTAAGATTATCCTACCCTCATTTTTGTGGTTGAAACTTTTTGCATACACAAGCTTGTATGTGCATATATATAAAAAACAGGAAGATTCTATATTTCCTTTATCAATTACTGTRCATACAGTATTGTAAAATTGTAAAMGRTTGTTTTAATATCCTGAAAAAGTAAATACAGAAGCACGGAGGTTTGGTTTTAGTTGCTTTTAAAGATATGTAGTTTGGGTTATCCATAGAATTCTTTCTCCTCCTGGCTAATGAGGTGTCAACAAGGGAGTCAGCTTCTGGTTGCTTCTATCTTATATAAGACAGACAAGTAAGGGAGGTGTTGGCTTAAAATAGTCTTGAAACATTATTCATTTTGTCTATTTTAACACGGGCTAGAAAAACACTAATATTCAAGCCAGCAAGAAAATCTACAAAGAATTRCCATGGTGATTTCTGATATTATGTAGAATATCTGCTTTACTCCAGTTTATGTTCAAATATATTAATGCTTTGCCTTATTATTTTTATCCAAACTTTGTGGCATCTGGCCCACATTCGTTCCCACTGCACCCAACGATTTCTCTGCCAGTTATTTCAATAGAAACAATATCTAGTCTCTTCCTTGGCAAAAGAAAAGAGTAAGTAGGCTGGAGAGCAGCCTGCACATGCTGYTGGTTTGATCTGCTGAAGAGACATTCTATGGGGAGGCATTTTTATTCTAAAGTGATACAGAACTGGTTACTCACATTTCACATGCATTTGTAGGTATGAGCTGTCTCTCTCAATCTCTTTGTTGTTTAGTTCACAGTCTGAAATCATCATTCTAATCCCTACTAAATCTTTAAAACCTTGGAAACTTGAAAGGTCTTAATATAGCTGAAGATTTTGAGTCATGAATTCAAGTACTAGCAGGATACCTGTCTTCTACCGAGGTGAAATCAGTGCTGATTGCCCCTTTTTTTGCCACAATTGTCTTTAAGTAGCTGCTATAATGATGTTTTCATTGGAGCATTTGGGAGGGAGAAAACAAGGTTTTGGTGAACCTTGTCAGAARCAGACAAGTACTTTGTATCTGGTGGCTCAAGCTGTACTTTTGATTAATACAATCATTAACCCGAACATTTTTTTCCCTTTGAACTGATTTTTAAAGGACAGTTCTCAACAGCCTGAAACACTAAAATAAAGACGTAGGACTTGSAAGCATCGTCTATAAACCGTGTTTCTCAGAGAGTTGCCTGGGAATCTCTTGCCATCTGCTGGAAACATGCGGATGTGCATCCYGAAAGGAGTTGAGCTTCAAAGTTACTGCCAGAGAGACAAATATGCTGGGAAATAATGGGATTTGTTCAGAAAGCAACAGTCCTGATGTACATAACTTCTAGCCAGACAACTCAGAAAAGATGCTGAAGGAGTTGAACCACCATCATTAGATGCTTTAATAAATCACATCTTTGCTGCTACAATTAATCTGTGTCATGATTGGATGCTGAGGTTGAATGTAGAATTTCAGAAATGAAATATTTGAAAAAACCCCTCATTTTTTTTAGCTTTCTCTTTCTCAAATAGATCGTTTCACATCACTGCTCTTCAGATTTTTAAAGAAGTAAAATTTTAGATATCTCATTTACATCTGGAATAAAATTAAATTAAATTACCTGTAGGAGTCTGTCAGCTCTTCAAATCTAGATGTAGTAGACAGAAATATTACAACTTTTCATTAAAGTGAGGATGGCTTGGTAGAACACAAAAGTGCAATGTCTGCCACCTGGAAAAATAAAGAGAAAAAAAAATARGATCAGGAATACACTCAGGATTTAMAACTTGTTKTGTTTCAAACCAGTTACAACRTCRTCAGCTAATGCACAGAGCAAAGCCAAYATCCTCTCCAAAAAATGCCATCTGCCCAGAAGTGGGAAGCATCTATTGAGAAATTGGACTGTTTAAACAGTCTTGTAATACAAGAAAATACAAACCAACCCCAAACCAAGACTTCTAAAACAACAGCATGAATACTAAGTGAACAACTACAAAATATCTCTGTGAGATGTAAAAATATTATGGTTGAGATTTTTTTTTCATCAAGCACTGAAAAATGTGCCTAAGCTTTGCTCCTTGGTATGTTGTGCTAGAAAAAAATAACATCAATAAACCACACAAAACTTCAGATCACGGTTCTGAAGAGCCTTTTATCTCCCAATCCAACAGCTCAAGGAGCTGAATAATTTAATTGACGTGACATGGAGATCAAAGTCTACCTTGACCTAAAAGAATTACATAACGTTCTCCATTTTAAGCAGAAAAATTTGGAACATATGAAGATTTAAGGGCCTACTTTGAAACCAGATTGTCAGGTCCTACTAAGATAAAATTAGCAGTGGACACACAAATRATTCAGATTAAAGACTGATAAATGATGCCATTTGGTGCATTTTCTTCGTGTCAGAGAAAACATCTTGACTGATGGGAATGAATTGTCCCATATTACTGCTAAATTAGTGCCAACTGYTATTTATTTGTATTTTGGAAGGTTGTAGAAACACCAGAAAATGCCTCAGAGTGACACTGCTGCAAACACTCCAACACACAACSCCCAAAAGCCCCACAAAAGTGCTGAGAAAGTGCTAAATGTGCCTGAAAAGATTTGGATGTTGGTGTGTAGATGGAATAGCAGGAGTCTAAGGAACGATTACTTTTCTCCATTTCAAAATACAAATGACCACTCAACTCCAGGTAGCCTAAAAAAACCCCAAAATAACAACCTAACAGTTGAGTCTCCTTGTTTTGGTTTATTTTTCAAACTTGGTAGGTAATGTTACTGAATGGTGGACATAAATACATCAAGAAAAGCCCCAAAGCAACCCTTTTTCTTGGATAGCTTATTTGCTGGGAAAAGTTTTTACAATACACAGGGAAACCAGCTGTTTGGGCAGGATGAGCAGCATTTCCACTAGAGGACTCTCTGAGTTCACCATCCCAACCTTCTGTGAGGAAAACACAGGAGATTCTGATTCAGTCACAGAGGATCTGAGGCTGGAAGAGAAAGTGTCACTAGCGAAAAACATCCAAATACAACTTTACAAAGTGAAGGGCATTAGCCATGTCACAGACTTGCTCTTGTGAAACTCTGGTAGCTGCTCCACTATTACATTGTTTTTCTCTCTAGCCTGGACAGYCTGATATTATCCCCTCTTTATTATATCAGCTGTAATTTTCCTGCTTTAGCCACTTTGAGCAGCCCATYCCCATGCTGGATGCTGGATTGACACTCACGGGACATCACTGCTGAGATTTCCTGGGAAGCRGCTCTGGCAGATGCAGCTCTGGGAGACAGGGCCTGTTCCCCCACATCTGTCACTTCAGCATCTGTCCTCTGTCGTCTCACCATTTCTCCCCTCAGAACATGACCCTGCCAACTCTGTCCCCTCATATCTGTCCCCTGTCCCCTCAAGACCTCTCCCGTTGTCCCCCACACCGGTTCTCCCCAACCTATCCCCTCAGCACCTGTTTTCTGTCCCCTCACACCTGTCCCCTGAGCACTGTCCTCCACCCCTCATATCAGTCCTCCCTTACAAATCCCCTAGCCCTTCACGCCTGTCCCCTGAGGACTGTCCTCTATCCCTCACACCAGTCGCTTCACACCTATCCTCCCTCACACCTGTCCCCTGAAACCTGTTCTCACACCTGCCTCTCTCAGCACTGTGCCCTCAAACCGTCCCCTCACACCACTCTCCTCAGCCCTGTCCCCTCACACCTGTCCCCTGTGCCCTCACACAGTCCCCTCACAGACCCCTCAGCTCTGTCCCCTCACACCTGTCCACTGTCCCCTCACACCTGTCCCCTCACACAGTCCCCTCAGCCCTGTCCCTCACACAGTCCCCTCACACAATCCCCTCACACCTGTCCCCTGTCCCCTCACACAATCCCCTCAGCCCTGTCCCGTCCCCTCACACAGTCCTCTCAGACCTGTCCGCTCAGCCCTGTCCCCTCACACCTGTCCCCTGTCCCTGTCCCCTCACACCTGTCCCCTGTCCCTGTCCCCTCACACCTGTCCCCTGTCCCTGTCCGCTCACACCTGTCCCCTATCCCCTCACACCTGTCCCCTATCCCCTCACACCTGTCCCCCCCAGCCCTGCTCCCTCAGCCGCCCCGCCCTGCAGCTCCGCGCTCCCATTGGCTACAGGTGTTCCCTGCCCTGCAGCGCCGCGCTCCCATTGGCTGCAGGTGTTCCCCGCCCTGCAGCGCCGCGCTCCCATTGGCTGCAGGTGTTCCCCCCCGCCCCCCCGCCCGCTCTGGTTGGCCGGGACGCTCCGGCTCCCCAGGTAACGGTTCCCGCGCTGCGATTGGTGGCGGGAGGGCGGGACCCTGGCGGGGATTGGCTCCCCATTGGCTGCGGCTCCCGCCCTCAGGCCGCCATGTTGCCGCGGGCGCGAGGCTCTGAGCCGGGACAGCGGCTGAGGGGCCCCGGGGGCACCTGAGGCGGGACTTGAGGGGRTACCTGAGGGGAACCGCGGCTTCTCCGCCGGCCGCTTCTGCCGCTCCCCGCCGGGGCATCGCCGGCGGTGAGGCAAAGTCCGCTGCGAAACTTCCTTGCGGGACTTTGAGCAACTTGAGGCCGCGGAGGTGTAGCCGAGCGCKCCGCGGGGAGCGGCCCCCGCTTGCCGCGGGTCCGCGGTGTTTTGGGTGGCCGCGATCGGAGCAGGTAGGAGTGCGGGCGGTCCCGGTGGAGAGGCCGGGCAGAGCTGGCTCCGTCCGGAGAAGTGCCGGCGCCACTTCGTCCCGAGCGACGGTGTCGCCTCCCGGCCGCTCTCCTCAGGCCGGGGCTGAGGGGGGACCGCGGGTGAGCGGGAGGGGCCGCGTGTTTTTCTGAGCCCCCCGGGAGGGTCGGGTCGGGAGTTGTGGGGTCTCCGCTCCCCCAGTACCTGTGATCCAGCTTGCCCGGACAGCGGGGTTAGGAAGTGTTTGGGTACGTACATTCATGTGTGAGGTGGTAATTTGGAATAAACAGGATGTTTGTCAGCCTCCAATCATAAAGGTATGTTGAATTGCTCTCGGAGTTCCTCTTCTGCTTCTCTTCGGTAAATTTGTAACCGATAGTAATTGATTTTACTACTCTATGTACATAAAAACTATTTTTAGCTACTCGATTCTTTGGGAGAAAAGAGTAAGATGTTGTGTTGATGAATAAGTAAAAACTTCTGTGGAGTATTTTCAGCCCAGAGGGAGCTATTGGATGATTCTTTAATAAAACATCCTCAAATGCTTGGGATATTTCTGTAAAACTAAATTGTACAGGGTATTTTTAACCAATCTCATTTAATTTCTGTGCGGGTCAGTGGTCTTACACATTTTCCTTTTGATTTTTTGCTGTTCCATGTAAAGCTATTTGTGCTTCTAAAATTTGACACAACTCATTTGTTTAGCAGTATGTGTATATTCATCAATATTCTGTTTTTTTTACTCTATGCAGCTGGATTGAAAATCATCTGGAGCAGAAACACATTTCACATGTGAAGCTCATCAGAATCTGTTATCTGTCCTGAATCAACTTATTTCTGCATACTTGTAATTTTATTTATCTGCTAAATACAGACCATGCCTAGCAGAATGGGCTCAAAAATTGATCTGAACCAAGACTTCATCAGAGTAAAAACACACTACCGTGGGTAAGTCAGTGTGTCCTTTCCTCTGTGWTGTGCCCTGTCTATTTTTGAAGCATATTGAGCAGGAGTTCGTGGTCTGACCTAGTGATAGARTAACCAGGGCTTTGGTGGATTTGTAATTAATGTCAGATCAGGCAGGTAAACTTCTGAGCTATTAAAATACCAGCCAGACTCCTGCAGCATGCTGATCAAGAAGAAAAGTTAATTAATGCTTCTCCCAAAAGGAGGAGAAATGTGCATGACTGACAACCTACAGTTATTGTGGGTTGATGGATTATTGATTYCCATGGTCACAGCCAGGTCTAGATCCATCTCTTGCATCCAGATGCAGTTATTACATTTTATCCTATGTGTAATCAGAATGTCATGGTCCTTTATGAYTTCACTCAGTTGTCAGTAGAAACAGGAAGGTTTTATTGCAGCAACATGAAATTTGAATTTTCAGGTGTGTTTAATCTAATTGGTTTGCTGCCCTTGTGAAATAATGTTGCTTTGGTCTATGCTCTCATTCTTCAAGGACTAAGTTTAAGGCATTTGAGGAGTTAAATATTTGGCCTAAGTAGATCCTTAAACTTGACTGGAAGTATTTAGACTGAACTTGCTGGCATTTAAAAAGTGACTTGAGTGATCTTTTCTGAAGTTTTACTGCTAAATAGGAAATGTTACTACTGTGGTTGTACTTATATCATAGTGTAGAAAAATGCTGGTTTGAATTAAATGTAACTATGAAAGTAACTTCACAAATTCTATTGAAAACAAAATACTTTCTTTCTAAACTTACCTACTTATCAGTGCCATGTAGTTTGAGGTCCTGAGTTTAGAATTCTAGAGCAATTGTGTTAATGTGGTAATGCCATAGGAGAGCTGCCTTAGTTCTGTAAGGGAAGGTACTACTAACACCGGTAGAACTGGGTGTAAATAATTTGGGGTAACTTGCTGGCAGGTAGTGTTGATATAAAGTGAAAGGAGAGTGTTTGTGGAACTTGTTTGTGCAGAGCTGGGGGAGGTGATAAAAATTGTGTCAATGTTAGAAGTCAAGTAATTATTACCGTGTTTTACAATAAACTACTGTGGTTTTTCCTGCAATGCTGCATTTCATCTTTTGCATTAGCTGTGAAGTCTGTAGAAGTCAGTTCTAAAACAAGAGTTTCAAGCTCCATGAATTTTGTTTTTGTTCTGCTGATTAGRTGTGTGAGTTAAAGCTGACTCTTTATGGCATTATAGCCTGTATAACTGATCATCTCAGTGTCTCCATTGCAGTACTACACTGAGCATTTGAACAAGTTTGATAGACTGCAGGAAATCAYTGATGCTGGGCAACTTCAAAGCTGGGGACAAACTCATTAAAATAGCTGCTAAAATGAAAATAATAGTACAGATGCCATATTCAAATGCCAGTTAGAAATAYAAGCATGAGGAAGTTTAAAATATGTAAGTGTTTAGTGTGTATCTCTGGAGGCTGAGTATCTCAGGTATTCCTGTTTCTGGGTGTGACAGAGTTCCTAACATAGCACAGTAGCAAGAACTGCCAGAATAGATTACAAAAGAACAACCAAGTAGCTGCAATAATGAAACAAGAATTACGCACATTGCCTCTCTAATTTATACCTGGTTACTTGAAATCACTGATATAGAGCAGTGTTGCAGTCTTGTTTGCTGGGTGTTATCTTGGTTCTAAGTGGTGACATGTTTGATCTGTCAATGGCAATGATTTCTCTTGCTGTGACTGCTCATATAGAACTTACTGATCATTAGATCTTCATATTACTGTGTAGTGTCCCGTTTCAAATATGTTTTTTGAAAAGTGTCACATGGGATTATTTAGTGTTAAACATGGAATGGTTTTCGCTTCCCGRTGTCCTGATTGCTGCTGTGGCTGTAGAGATGTTGTGATTAAATACAGTAAATCTCAAAGGARCATGGACATCATGGATATGAAGTTCATTAATTTACCCATAGAATGACATCTGTTAGAATAATTTTAACAATTCAAGTCTGATTAGTAGTTGCTTCATTTGGAGTTTGTAGTGTGCATAGTAGAGTGTTATCTTACAGTATCTTTTCAGTTTATGAATATAGTTTAGATACTTGTGAAAGTGTGATTGCCCACAGTTACCGCAGATCTACAGCTGCCTGATTTCCTGAGTGGCTTGTGGTGGCAGTGCATTAAATAATGAGCTGCATTTRTTGGTGACCTTGTCTTGGGGCAAGGCATTGCACCAGCCCTTAAACATTGCTGTGAGAGCCAGTTTGGTCTCTTTCATAAATACATAAAACATGACTTCTTTGACAAGGAAATGTTCTTAAACTCAACCTCACCTGACAGCTCTCAGTGTTGTAGATAATATGGATTCAGAGGCTGGCAGGTAGCATATGTATTTCTTTTGCTGTTGCTGCTATGAAGAATTATTAAGTTGCTGTTCTTTGAGAGCTTTACWAAGTGTAGATTAAAGGTACACTTGAAAAGGTAGCAGTGCTTTTAATCTGAATTTGAAATAGWACAGTTCTTTAAGGTGATTGTTTTAGAGCTTCACTTATTGTAATTTTTCTCAGCAAAGGCAAAATGACAAGTTATTAATGCATATAATTTAAAATACAATTTGTAGARTTTAAGTTTCTTATTCCAGTGTAGTACTATTCAGCTGCTGGCTGAAAGACGTAAGTACACAGAACATGTTGTATAACTTTTTTTTTCTAAAATAACTTGTTACACAGTATGGAAATAGGAAAATTATCTCAGTCATGCTGGACAACTTCTGATATATTTGCTGTATTAAACTAGGARGGGAAAGAATTACACATGCCAGCAGCCATTAACTACAAAACTATTTCCTGATTGTCCTCTGGAAGGTTTTGAAGGCAGTGAAATGACTTCAGTTCATCTCCTGTTTCTTTTTGCACTTGTTTRTTAATTGGTTCCCCAGAGTCAGTTATTTGGAAAAATATTTTATAAATAGTAGAATGTCCTGTTTGTATAATCAGATTTTGTTTTGCATAATCTTTTCTTCTTTCTTTAATATTTAACCTGCTTTGACACTACTGTGTGGACTTTCATTATTTCAAAAGTTATTGTCAYAAATGCCTGAGATAAGGTATAGCTTACATACAGAGTTCAGTATTGGGGTCATGTTCTCTAAACACWACAAAGGTAGAGCACCAGATGCGGAATTTGAGTAAGATTTTATCTGAATTTTCTGTAATTACATCTTTTGAGAATTCACCCAATCAAAGCTTCATGTCTTAACAATAGAGTGGATGTGAGGAAAAGCCTGCAGTTTAAAAGGATTTTAAAATAATTGAGATTTTACTTATCTCCTGATGGAAGAAGTACCTGGTTTAAAAAAAAATTACAAAAGCATCTGATTTTGTTTTTTAACAACATTTCAAACGCTGATAATTATAATAAGGGAACTTGGCTCACCCAAGTAAATATGCGTTMAAGATGAGTAATTAACACATTTATTTCCTTCATACTGAAGTATTTTTAAGTTAAGCACTCTGAGGTGTAATCCTGCTGGTWTAGTGGGAGCATTTTATATGAGGAATGCTCATTCTGTAAGAATGATTCTGCAGCTTGGTGTCCATAGATGGAACTGTTGGAATATGCAGGTGTTTTCTGATAAAACCTGATGATTTTATCTTCTGCAGGGACATCCTCATAACAAATTTGGATGCATCAATGAGCTATGCTGAACTCTGTGATGAAGTACAYGAGATGTGTAACTTGCAACAGGAACAGCCAATTACCCTCAAGTGGATTGATGATGAAGGTATTGGACTGAAATACTTCTCTGGGTTTGTTTTTCACTGTGGTACAGAGAAAGGGGCATTGAGGAACTTACATRCTGTGGATTTACTTTTTGTTTCTAAATACCTGGGTACAGAACTCAACA